TTTTTTTTTTTCATTTACGAACGCGGAAACAAGTTACAAACACATTTATTTTGTCACTTCAAACCGTATTTATTAGGCCATGTCCACACGAATCGGAACACTTTTGGAAACGTATGCGGATTCAGAAATATCCGGATACTTGTGTGGCTTAGTCAGATTTTGTTTTTTATCTTGTCACTTGATAATGATGTCATGGCAATTTGCTAATTTTTCCTTCTTCAGATATTATCACAGTTGTAAATTTTGAAGATCGATTGTTTACTGTTGTTGTGACATGTAAGCATCCTATGTTTGTAAAAAAAAAAAAAATAGAAAAAGAAAGAAGGAAAATATATGAATGAAATGCCGCTTTTATTAAGTTAACAAATAAAATACAAACCAAAAGTAAGTGAGGGAGGAGGGGGTGGCATGTTTTGTATTGTTTCCCTCCATTTTTGTTGGTTATCGTAATAAGCAGACTATTTCTCTTTCGCGTAGGGAAAAGTTAATAACACGCCTATCTATTTGAAGGATGCCTGTATTTGTTCGCGAGGAGGTCAAAATTGTTGTAATAAGTGACAGCATTTAACCAAAAGATATATTAACGGATGTCTTCATTAATTTCGTACAACCAAGGTAAAGTTTAATGAAAATGAATAGAAACTTGGAGTAATTGCGTACATTTACATTTTTGTCACAAAAATAAATAAATTTTAAGTGCTGGAGTCCACTGAATTTTCAAGCGACTCCAGCCTTTTTTAAAATAACCTTAGGCTGTTCAAATAAAACCGTCAATCGACTTTAATTGAGCTTTATCGCTGTACCCTGCAACAAGAAAACGATTTTTAAGAAGGTTCTAAATTTAAACTGACCCCGCTGCAATACTAGTTAATGTTCCAAACAAGGAATATGCAGGATATTACATTATGGACACTCACAGCGGAAATTACTCGTAAACTGCCTTGGAAGAACAAAAAATGGTTTCCTTCATCTTTTAAATGGATTTTATGTCGCATTGTATACTAATCCTTAGGGTCTTTTGTCTTCGGAAATGGAGAGTGTATCTGGTGGACTTTTTTAACACGTATTTGAAAATAAAAATATGACAATTTTTATTCTATTTTCTTTCGGCCCGAGATAAAACAGTATCGTATATAGCACATGTAAAGGCTCAAATTAATTTTGCAACAATGGCAAGAAAATTTGAAATGTAAGGTTGTCTTTTATGCTACAATTGTCTCTTCATCGACACCTGTCGTAGATCCCATGTATTATAAGCTTAGTACGCGGCTGCAACACTCAGCATGATTTATAATGATGTAAAAGCTCTGGAGTTTACATTCAAGCCACTAAGACTGAGTTTAATCTCAGCGGTATTCCAGCGATAACGAAACCATACGATATTCATGGATAACTAGCCAGCGCGAAATAATATTCTGAACTTTTTTCAAGTGCTTCAAGTCTTTTTAAGGATATTTCTGGCTTTAAATGGCCTTTTAGTGTTGAAAATCTTGTCGATGTTTTTCATATTACAAGATGAATGGAAGCAATATAAACGCATCGCTAGGAGATGGGCAGGTATCATCAGAAGACATTGTATTTTCCGCCCTATACTCGATTATAGTATTCTTTGGGGTCTTAGGAAACACTGTCGTTATTATTATTGTAGCAAAAACACCATCAATGCACACCACAGCCAACTATTTATTAACGAACCTAGCCGTGGCGGATATGCTGACCTTATTGTTTTGCCCAGGCATGTACGACTTCGCTATAAACAGTTTCAGGATTAATTCTACACTAGGGGACATTGTATGCAAGCTGTTTGCAGGGAACGCAATCGTATGCATCACCTTTGATGCCTCCGTATTGACCCTCTGCGTAATCGCCCTCGAACGATACGTGGCTATAGTCAAACCGTTTAAAAGCGCTCGTTGGACCATCGCGTCAAGAAATGCAGCTTCAGTTATAGTTTTTATATGGCTGGCGTCTTTCATTTTGAGCTTCCCAGACAGTTTATGGACTAAGTATAACGCGGCTCACACGGCTGATATGTACCCCTGCATTCGCCCATGGACTTTAAATCACGAGCCAGCTGTGAAGGCTTACATCATTGGCCATTGCCTTCTTATGATCGTTCTCCCGTCAATTTTGATTTCGTTTTGCTATTTTTCCATTCTAAGAGAACTCAGATGGAATTTAGCGGATCCAGTGCTGGACGAAACTGATAAAAACAACACAAAAAAACTTCTGAAGCCTCTCTTCTCTATAGCAGTTGCATTCTGTTTCCTCTGCCTACCATTCGCGGGATTCTTCTTCTACGTGTGTGCTCTAGAACCCATGCATGTGGAACAAAACTACGCGACCTTATTTTTAACGCATAGGATTGTTCGCGTTTTGATATTTTTCAACTCCTTTGTTAATCCACTGTTATACGCGGCCCAAAGCTCGAATTATCGAAAATCGCTCAAAAGAATCTTCTGCAAAAGAAATGCAAATATTTGCAGCAAAGAAATTAAAGTGGGAAAGCGTTTGGGGAACATGGAGGAGCAAGTGTAATCCCTTGTTAATTATATTGACACAGATATTGAGTCATAATAATTTATACTTCGAATACAAACTGACCAAACTGAAATGTAAGTCACTACAAGAGATGTAAATATTAAAATAGTTAATCTCAGATTTTATGAAGTCATTCATACAGTTTTCATAGGCCTTGGCGTCTCAGTTGTCCAAGAAATCCAGATGTTGAAAATAAAAAATTTGGCTAAATGGAAAGCGCCCCGGGTATTATGTCAAGGAGTTTACTTTAGGAAGAATGGGCGAGTGTCGAAGGTATACTGTCAACTTTTTAATTTTTTACTTGGGAATGGTCATTTTTGACTGACGCGTCATTTTAAGAAAAATCTATAAGTACATTACGTCTTTTAGAATGTTAAAAAAGACTGCTATTAGCTTTTGAATTGGAGTAATGTTATTTAAATTTGTGACCGTCATTGTGCACAAACAAACGGCCATTAGCACTTTCATTTTTTATTTTCTAATTTTGGGAAGACTGTGATTCCCTAGCCTATAATATAAAAATCATTGAACAGCAACATAGCATGTGAAAAATTGATCACAGAGAAGGCTAAGAGCAATAATGTTGAATTAAAAACTTAAAGCACACTGAAACGGAGTTAATATATATCATCGACCACCAGCAGTCTGTAGGTTATGAATCTTCTTATCTGATTACTACATGATTTTAAACGTTAAGTATCTAACGACGAGGAGTAAATTTGATGTCAATTAATCCCTCAAATCTGGTGACAATTGAGGGAAGTCGCAAATATATAAAGGTTGGCGGTTTTGTGAAGCCAAATTGAGTTACGGCTAGTGGATATTGAAGGACGTTCGAAGGAAGGAGCGAAAAACGACTTTGTTTTTAGAAGGCAACCACTATTCCGTCACATGCATTTTTTTTTTCTTTCTTTCGATACCTTTTTTCAGTCTTGTCAATAAATGTAAGGCTAATTTATAACAAACACCACTAATCATAATTATGAGTTTATGAATTTGCAGCCATAGCTTGAGTTGAAAAAATAAGAATTCACTGATCAAAACTGAGAATTATGGTAGTACCTCAGGCCTCCTGCACCTAAATGAAACGAGAAACAAATTGCAAAGCACCGGACTGTTTCAAGATAATCCTCTTCTGTATCCAGCGCTTCAATGGCAGACAGTTACAAAACCGACCAGTTATGGCGCTGTTGAAAAAGAAATAGGAAGCTGAATACAAGGTACAGAAAAAACAAAACCTAAATGGCCCATCAAATAAACTTTTCTGAAGTTATACTGCATGTTCTGAAAGCAGTAAAAAGTGTAGACAGGTAATAAAATTTTATTCAGATGTGGACACTTTTTCACCCAAGGATCGATGTTGGGAACATTTTTATTCTTGCTTTATATATCGAATAGCAGTGGAACTGTGGAAACGTTTTACATGACATTTACAGTAATATCAATGTTACCATCCCCCCCTTTACCGACAGATGGTATTACGGGCATCTTTTTTGTAAGTCAAATGCTATTATCTGCCAGCACGCTTGGTCAGCGCTATTAAAAGACTGAGCTGTTGTGAATGATTTCTTGCAATCATACGTGGTCATGCTAGCTGCTCGCTTACGGGTGAACAGAAGACAAGAGACAATGCTTGCCTAGTCCCTAGAGACTTGTAACTCCGCTGATGAGCGGAGAGAAAGTCAAACCAACACACGACACTTTTGTTTTTGTTTTTTGTTTTGTTTTTGTTGTTGTTGTTGAACATTCCCTTACTTAACTTTCTAAAGTGCCACGCAGCTCATCGGATTTTTTTCCGTTATTTGTTTGTGTGACTTTTCTATTCTGCTTCTCAGCTAAATTGTTCGTTTATAACTTTGTTTTTATTAGTTTTTTCACCGGGGGGGGGGGGTACTGCCATGTATGGGCTACGTAGGTATGTGCCGCTGTGAAGGGTATGGTTTTCAAGCAGTTTACTCTAGTATAGGGTATATAAATCAGAGCGTTTGGGTCTAGAATCGGGTATCATTTTTCAGGAAACTGATCAGTTGGTTGTAAGATTTTATCTAGACTAGGAAAACAGCCACTCTGGGATAGGGGAGATTTGGGGAGTTTACTCTAGTATGGGGTGGCAAAATTCAGCTGAACTAACTCTGGTGTACGTTAGGAGTTCTCAGGGTCCCAGCGGCACATCCCCACCCAGAAATTCGTAAAGTACCCCCCGGGTTTTTCCCCAAGGCGTTAAAATCCCGCGGCCATTTGGCTTCCTTGCGGTTAGGCATATGGCAATCTGCGGTAAGGCCACATGCAATTTAATGATGCGTCTGCGATTTCCAATTTTAAAAAAATTCTCTCTAAAAATATTTTTCCGTTTAGAACAGTTAAAACAGAATCAGAGAACATTTGGATCTGTTGACAGTGACTTTATAAAAAGCAACAGACCAAAGAACACAAGCAAGATGCTGCGTTACTTAATGGGGTTAATTTATTACAGCAATACCATATTAGGAAATATTAGCGGGAAAAATGAAGTAATCTTCGAATTTTTTTCTCGTTTAATTTTCGCTTGTGGACATGCTGGCTATCTTGTGATCTTTACTGAAACAGGTAAATAATTACTATGACGGTCGCAAGGTGAGTAATTACAAATCTTTACATAAAGAAAATGTTTCAGCTATAATTGCGAGCGGACTGTTATGTCGAAGACGTGACGCCATAAAGATGCTAATCGAGCATGATCTTAATGTTCGCTGAAGCTTAGAATTGGTTATGAGGACCAGCTCAGTCGCTAATGAAACTGTTAAACATTATGGCGTTACTATCAATAAAGCCAAGAGGCTTCGAACAGGACAATCATTATACTCGTAGAAATGTTAAGCTTTGTGTGTTATAAACCAGATACATGTAAATATAAGCCGGCCTACAAAAACCTGGATCTTTCCTCAGGAAATATTTGTAAACTTCAGCATTAAATTTATAGGCATGCTGAGTGATATTTCAAGCGAAAAGTTGATCCTTAACTACCTGGGTCTAACAAATACACTGGGGCATTAATTTACTTGTGTTTAACAAATACAGCAAAAATACGCGGGAGTGTTAATTTGCCTGTGTCTAACAAATACACTGGGGCATTAATTTGCCTGTGTTTAACAAATACACTGGGGCATTAATTTCTCTGTGTTTAACAAATATACTGGGGCATTAATTTGCCTTTGTGTAACAAAATACACGGGGGAAACTATCATTACTGACCTTTTTAATGGCTTTACTCTAGATATCAATGGTTGAAATAAGAACTTTAGTTCGAAGGGATAACCTGAAATTTTGGCCGCAGTAGTCGTAAAAAAAATTGTCAAAAAAAATATCAGTTTGTTTTTCACCTACCCTAGCTTTAATCTTCTATTAAAGTGGCGCCAAAATATATTATCATCAAACCCATTCAAAATACCCTTTTAGTTCAGCTTAAAACACATGAAAAAGAATAAATCTTTAAGAAAAGGGTATTGAAACAATACTCCACACCCTGGCCGACAAATAGGGATACAAGCAAACGCAAAAATTAAAACAGAGGCAGATTAGCAAGTAACAATTCCAACTCGCAAAAAGCAACTAGAGCCAGTTCAATATTTACAAGCTATAAGTTTCACCGAGGAATTGAATTATAACGCAATGCAGAGAAAATTCTAGCAAGTGATTTGAGGCTAGTACACTCACGGGATTAGTGAAATCTAACGTTAAGGCCTTAAGCCACTCTAGCATGTCACATTTCAAATAACACGTTCACAGCGCCACAATTTCAGGTTTTGTCCGAACGTCTTTCCCAGTTATAAAACGGTCATTAGCTACCTTTATGTTAAGTAAATGATAAATGACATGTTTACAGATGGTTGAACATTAATTGGTTGCATCATTGTTAAACATATTTTAGTATTTAAAAGGTAGATATAGGCATATTTTTATCCCCTAAAAATTTTTCATCTGTTCGGAATTCGTAACTGAAAGCCTAGTGACCCGAAAATTATAAGGATCAAAAGTTACCTAGTTTTCGAAAATTTCAGCCAGAAAAAAGGTTCCCGAAAATTCTAGGTGACCTTTTTAGGGTAAAAATCCGTTAAAAAATGGGCAATTATACCATTTTTTAGATGTTCGAATATCCTAGGAGAGGCAGGCAAGCAAGAAATTTTACAACAAATGTTCCGAAACTCTAGATCTCAAATCGTCTTCCGAACAGATATTTTCCGCAAATTGACGTCCCATGTATAAAGAGGGGTAGTTTTGTATCCATTCAGGCTGCTAGGTCATGGCAATTTAACTGCAGGTGGAAAAATGAGGGCCCGATATTTGACAGTCAGCTTTTATAATATTTTTAAGCCAATAATAAAGCAGAATACAATTCTTCCAAAAAGATAAATTGCCGCCCTTGCGTTCATTGGTTTTAATATCAAGTGAAAACACTGTGCATAAGGTCAAACTTGGAGTTGTCAGTTCAAGTGTTTTTACTTTCGGAGATGAACAGAAGCTATAACTGCTCTTTACCCATTTCTACTGAAGAAATCGTTTTCGCCACATTGTACTCGTTGATCGTTTTCTTTGGCGTCTTGGGGAACGTAATTGTTATCACCATCGTGCGCAACACGCCTTCAATGCACACGCCAACTAACTACTTACTGTTGAACCTGGCTGTTGGCGATTTGATAGCGCTGTTGTTTTGCCCCGGTTTCTATGAATTTGCTCTAAAAAACGTCCAACTCGGTGCAACAGTTGGAGACGTCATGTGCAAGCTTTTCTTTGGAAACGCCACTGTTTGTGTCGCCTGGGACGCCTCGATTTTAACTCTTTGTGTCATTGCAATAGAACGGTTCAATGGTATCGTTAAACCATTCAACAACGACTGGGCTCTCACGAAAAAGAGAGTATCCCTGGCTATTGTCATTATTTGGGTAATGGCAGTTACTTCAAGCTTTCCGGACATTTTATTGACCAAGCATATCAATAATCGAAGTCCCTTGCATTTCTGCAGACCTTGCACCCGTCCATGGACCGTTCTCGATCAGTCTTTCCTGGTGAAAACTTACACTGTCACTCATTCTGTCGTTTTGATCGTGTTTCCCTCTGCTATAATTCTATTCTGCTATATTTCTGTCTTCTCAGCATTGAAGCGGGGCCCAGGAGACTCGCTACCAGACAAAATGAATCGAAAGAAGACGCAAAAGCTTTTAAAACTTCTGGTTTCTTTAGCAGTGGCATTTTGCGTATTGTGCCTTCCGTTTGCAGGATTTTTTTTCTATGTCCTTGCGCACGATGTGAGGGACGCTAAATCGGAGACATCTTTGTTACTCACGCTCAGAATTGTTCGTTTTCTTGCCTTTTCCAATTCTTTTGTTAATCCACTGTTATACGCTGCTCAGAGCTCGAATTACAGACTTGCTCTGAAGAAATATTTATGTTGTAGAAATAACGCAAACGCTGGTAGAGACCAAAGTTTACGAATGGCTAACAGGAGTAGGAAATATAAACGTGATCAAGTTGTGAAAGCGGAAGAAGGAGTTTAAGGTAACACCTGTTCGAACGTATGTCCCGAGCCTGCTTACACAAATCCAACCTAATTACAGCTGTCGGCTTATAGTAGTTTCCAAGTGAGAGCCGCACAAATTTTTTGCATCTTAATACTTTCTTTTGTATCTTCCAAGACATTTAGAAATGAAATAAAAGGAACAATAAAAGTAAGAAAGAAATCCTTTTTGAAAA